CTATTGGTTTGCTGCAATTAAGAAAGGCAAATGAGTCGGAGAATAACGAGAGAGAGAGAGAGAGAGAGAGAGAGAGAGAGAGAGAGAGAGAGAGAGCAAAAAGACGTAAGTTAATGAACAGAAAGGAAAGAAAAGAGTTGAGAGATTAGAATGTAGAGGGAGGAGAACAGATACGAAGAGATAGAGAAAAAATGAGCAAATATAGGAGGGAAATAAAGAGTGGTTAGATATTAGAGTGTTTAAAATCGAAATGGGACAGACGAACAGATAACGTTGATTCTATTCATTCGACTGTAAAAATGAGTCACTAATTGTTTCGCTTGTGTGCGTGTGTGTATGAAAGAAAAAGAGAGAGTGAGAGAAAGAGAGAGGGAGAGGGAGAGAGAGCAAGAGAAAGAGAGGGAGAGAGATAGCGAGAGAGAAAGAGGGAGAGAGGGAGAGAGAAGGGGGAGAGAGAAAAATAATAGGATACTGAATGAATGAGAAAGAGGAACAGCATTATTAATAAAGAACAAACCAAATATCAAACACACACGCACACAGAAAGAGAGAGTAAAGAGAAAGACAGAGTGACAGACACACACACACACACACAGAGAGAGAGAGAGAGAGAGAGAGAGAAATAATAGGATACTGAATGGTTGAGAAAGAGTAACAGCCTTCTGAAAAAAACAAACCAAATATCAAACACACACGCACACACAGAAAGTGAGAGATAGAGACAGACAGATAGACAGACAGAGATAGATAGATAGATAGATAGATAGATAGATAGATAGATAGATAGAGAGAAATAATAGGATACTGAATGGTTGAGAAAGAGGAACAGCCTTATAAAAAAAAACACCAAATATCAAACACACACGCACACACAGAAAGTGAGAGATAGAGAGAGACAGTTAGACAGACCGATAGACAGAAATAGATAGATAGATAGATAGATAGATAGATAGAGAGAGAGAGAGAGAGAGAGAGAGAGAGAGAGAGAGGGTAGGTAGAGTAGTAGAGGATGAGAAAGCACTGGAATATAATGAAGGAAATAGTTGTTTTTTTTTTTTTTTTAAAAAAGGAATGTTTCAGAGGTCAAACGAAAGACAAGATAAAAAAGACCGAAACAAAATGGATAAGAAAAAGAAAATGGTTAACACATGGCGAAACAGATAGATAAATAAAGCGAGAGAACATGGTAAAAGTGAAAGGCAGGGAGAAAGAGAAGAAGAGAGAGAAAGAGGAAAAGAAAGAGACAAAATTTGATAGAAAGATATGCAGAGAAAGACCAAAGTAAAAGAACGTAAAAATGCGAAGAGAAAAAGCGAAGACAATAAAAAAAAAACAAACAAAAAAAACTATGCACACGTCAGACACACATATACACATAAACACGCACACACACATATATAGAGACGCGTACACACACGCATACAGAGTGGAATAGAAAGAGAAATAACTAGAAAGGTAGAGGATGAAGGAAAAATATGAGAATAGAGGTAGATAAATAGGTAGGTAGGTAGGGAGAGGGAGAGAGAGAGAGAGAAAGAGAGAGAGAGTATATTGTAGAAAGAATGCAGGGAAGAGAAGAAATAGAAAGGGCAAAGGAATTAAAGCAAATTATAGAAAGATATAGAGAGAAGGTTCAAGAAAAAGAATGAGTAAATCATTCACTCATTCTTTTTCTTGAACCTTTTCATCTTTTTCCATCTATTTCCTTCACTGTGAATTAAATAGATGGAAAAAGATGAAGAGCTACGTAAACAGATAAAGCAAGAGTATATTATAAATGGAAGGCTGGAGGAAAGAGAGAAAGAGAGAAAGAGAGAAAGAAAAGGAGTAAACTATAGAAAGATAGAGAGAGAGAAGATACAAGAAAAAGAACGAGAGAAAAAGAGCAAACTATTGTAAGATAGAGAGAGAAGGTTCAAGAAAAAGAGAGAGAGAAAGAGAGCAAACTATACAAAGATAGAGAGAGAACGTTCAAGAATAAGAAAGAACGAATGCTAAGCCAAGAGACAATGAAATAAACAGTTGGAAAAGAACGAAAAACAAAGAAAGCGATTTCACTTTCTTTTTCCGATTTTTATCGAAGAAATCCGTTATCACCGACATTCTTCTATTTCTCTGTGTTGTGTCCTTTCAGAACGTGATTGATAAAGGCTCTCCACAGTTTCCCCTCCTTTGCAGCTCTTAGTAAAGATCTTGGTGCTATCTCTCTTAAGTTCTGTTCTTTTACACAAGCCCGTGAGGTACGTTATGCTTTGCTCTCCTGTCTTTCAGTATCTCTTGTGAGTGTTAAATTTTCTAAGACTTCTTTCTTCCTGATGTGGCTTAGCCATTTTAATTGTGTTTTTCTTATTTCCTGTGACATCATTTTTCTACACCTATTTTCTTCTATAATAGCAATTAAATTTCTTTTTCTTATTTTCACTTTTAAGCTAGATATGGGAATTATTTACATTATTCGGACTATTGTTCTCATTTTTGTCGCCATATTTATCGCAACGTTTCAGTCGTTGTACGCTCCGGCCTTCTTCAGGTGGTTGGAATATCGAACTGAACCCTTTATTTCGCTCACTGGGGTAAACTGTTCTAGTTCCACGTGCCATGTTTAATGGATGTCAGATATCAGTTATGCCGTGTTAATTCCTCTCTCTAAGTTCTCCACTGCCTTAACCGGGAATTGAACTCACACACTTTGGGTCCTTGAGGACACATGGCACAGTGGATAAAGGTGTTGGATAGTTCCAGTGACAGGACCCAAAGAGTCAAAATGACACCAGTGAGTGAAATAAAGCGTTCAGTTCGACATTCCAACCACTTGAAGAAGGTCGGAGCGTACAACGGCCGAAACGTTCAATACTAGAAAAGGGTAATTTGCTTTTTAAGCCTCGCGCTAAATATGTAATAAAATAAAAAATGCCGAATAGTTACATTTAGGTGTAAATGTTTATGCTTACTTCGAAAATAAAGAAATTTTGATAAAATCTACCGTTTTGGATTTACTGACAATAGAAGTTCGGACTCATTCGTATCGTGGCAGCCATTACAGGCGTTGTTTGCATATATTTGCTGCAGAACAGTCTTGATCATTGCGCACGCAATGAGTCTTTAGTTGCGCAGTAATTGAATCAAGTAAGAACCGTAAAAAGGCCGTTAACAATGTAATCTTCAGCGCAAATCTAATCAGCAGCGAATGTATGCAAACAACGCCAGTAATGGCGAATGAGCCCGAACTTTTATTGTTGATAACTCCTAAACGGTAGATTTTATCAAAATGTCTTTGTTATTTTCGAATTAAGCATATAAATTTACACCTAAATATAAATATTTGGCAAATTTTTATTGCATATTTAGCGCGGGGCTTGAAAAGCAAATTACCCCTATAAAAAAAAGAGCGATGACAGTTACTAGACTTGAGAAACCGATTTTCCAGAAGAGAAAATAAACTGTTTTAAGAGAAAGATTTTAAAACATTTTAACCAACAAGAGCATGGTTGTTCGTTTAACGAATGCCGAATGTTTCCCGTATAGAAATAGTTATTTTCACTATTTCATTCACCTTATAAATTATTCATTTGCACAACGAAAAATTGCAGAATGTTTCATGATTTCAGTCTTAAACCTCTTAATTATTAATGAATATAACTGCATACAATTTATTTCTTTGCAATTTCGCACAGTCTTGTTTTATTAACAGGTTTTCATTACAAACATATTTTCTGGTAATTCTCTATGTCAGATTTTATTATGCAAGTCAAGATTTTCCAATAAAATATATATTAAGTGATGTTGGTAAAATTGTTATTATATTATTTGTATTTATATTTGCAATACATCCTGTGAGTTTTAGTAACTTATTATACGTAATCTTATTAAATATAATAATGATTTGTTTTGGAGATTGTTAAGTTTTATTAGGCGACTTAAACAGTGAAGATAAAATTTTATTTAACTAAATCTTAATGATATAAAACATAGAAACATATTTGATTATATCCTAGGTATGACGATAAACTACATCCGATAGCAAGGCCTCTGATCGGGATGTTTTGAGGATCGTGGAACCACTTCTTAATTGCTGTTGTGCCCAGGTTCAACCTGACTCGAGGCGGTAGCACCTGTTAGTGTCTCAGCTATGGGTAAATAGTTAACCCCCAAAATTGGGTCAAAACATTATGAAAGTGTTTTTATGGTAAAAATACCAGTAAAATAATTAGCAGCAACAAATTTTTGTAAAAAAAAAAAATTTTTTTTTAAATTACCAGCAATATGTTCTTGTAAAAAAAATAATACCAGCAATATGTTTTTGTAAAAAAATTAAAAAAAAAAATTACCAGCAATACGTTTTTGTAAAAAAAAAAAAAATTAAAAAATTACGAGCAATACATTTTTGTAAAAAAAAATTAAAAAAATTACCAGCAATACATTTTTATAAAATAATAAAATTAAAATAAATTACCAGCAATACGTTTTTGTAAAAAATAAAAATAAAAAAATTACCAGCAATAATTTTTTGTAAAAATAAAATAAATTTAAAGATTACGAGCAATATGTTCTTGTAAAAAAAAAACTAGCAGCAATGAGTTTTTGTAAAAAAAAAAAAATTAAAAATTTTACGAGCAATACATTTTTGTAAAAAAAATTTTTAAAAAGTTACCTGTGTTACCAGCAATACATTTTTATAAGATAATAAAATTTAAAAAAATACCAGAAATAGAAATATATATTTTATATATATATATATATATATATATATATATATATATATATATATATAAAACCATTCTACCTGAGCACCTGAGTCAAAATTCGCAAATAATTGGTATGTAATGTTTCACGATAGATATAAACATATTTACGAGTGTTTACAACACGGTTAAACCGGTGGCTGGACATTAAGTCATTTTTCTCTACCACTGTTCAACCGGTGGCTGGGCATTACGTCATTTTTCTCTACCACTGTTCAACCGGTGGCTGGGCATTACGTCATTTTTCTCTACCACTGTTCAACCGGTGGCTGGGCATTACGTCATTTTCTCTACCACTGTTCAACCGGTGGCTGGGCATTACGTCATTTTTCTCTACCACTGTTCAACCAGTGGCTGGGCATTACGTCATTTTTCTCTACCACTGTTCAACCGGTGGCTGGGCATTACGTCATTTTTCTCTACCACTGTTCAACCGGTGGCTGGGCATTACGTCATTTTTCTCTACCACTGTTCAACCAGTGGCTGGGCATTACGTCATTTTTCTCTACCACTGTTCAACCTGTGGCTGAGCATTAAGTCATTTTTCTCTACCACTGTTCAACCGGTGGCTGGGCATTAAGTCATTTTTCTCTACCACCGTTCAACCGGTGGCTGGGCATTACGTCATTTTTCTCTACCTAAAGCGATGGTCAGGGCTGAAAGGATTAAACATTTACTCCACTTCTCCATTGTTGTTTTCTAAGCCGACTCAGTTGATTCAATCAAATCGGTTCAATGTAACTCTTCATTTATCATTAAAATAACCGTTGAGAAATTCGCTTTCATGTATGTCTTTACGGAATTTACACATTTCTCTTTGTGATATTAAATTGGAGGTGGCAGTTTTGTGGCTTTCATGTCTGGAGCCAATGTAGCTAATATTCACAATGTTTTTTTTCCTTGTTAACTTATATTTTCTTGCTAGTCAATTCACTTGTCTTCCTTTTACGTAAATCTCTTTTTTGGGGCATTCTTATGGCCAGTTTTTTTCTCTTGATATTTTGCCTATATTTTCAATTTCTTTTTTCCTTGTGCAATCTCCGTTCAAATATTTCGCAATTTCCAAAGGAGTGCTTTACAATATGTTGCTTCTCTTTTGAGGTTATATCTTTGTTACGACCTCTGGCAATCTTAATATATCTGGAAAAAAAAGAAAAAAGAAAAAAGATCAATGCCTATGCTATTATATATTTATTTGCCACATGATTAACACCCCTTCGATTTGCGTCCTAAAATTTAACATTGCTATTTAAAAAGTAAATATCAATAACTATACCATTATATTTCGTAATTATTTCTAAGAAAAATAAATATCATAACCTGGAATTGACATGACATATTTATCGGGTGCAGGACAGCTCAACACCGCTAACCGACAACAGTCGAGTGAACGGTAGGACAAATGTAGACCGAGACAACTCATCACTAGAAAACGAGAAAATAAGAATTTCGATTTATTTTATTAAAAATTAAATTACATTACGATTTACTTTATTGAAAATAATTAAAAACGAGTGTATTTTATTTAATTATTTTTATATATCAATTTACTTTATTAGAAAATAAAATTCTTTACGATTTACTTTATTAAAAATAATTAAAAGCAAAAAGCTCATTCATCTTTTACACAATGCCTTTTCAAATGCATTATTTGAAGCAAAATATTCACTAATTAAAGTTTTAATCCTTAATAAATTACTTTTATTCGGTTATAAAAAGTTATGTCTTATTGGTGCTGGTTTGGCGGTATTCACTTGGCAGTGTTGAGTTGGTGATGTTGAGTTGGCGGCGTTCACTCGGCGGCGTTGAGGTAGTGGTGTTGAGTTGGCGGTGTTGACTCGGCTGCGTTGAGTTGGCGGTGTTCACTCAGCGGCGTTGAGCTGGCGGCGTTGAGTTGTCCTGTGCCCGATATTTATCATGGAGATACGGCGGAGTAATGGATAGCGGCACGAATCGAAGAATCGGAGAGTTTTAATTCCGGTCGAGTTTGTTACATTCACTTGCCAAGGAGTGAGAATTCTCTGGATCTGAATCTGAATATGTTCCTGATATGTCCCGAAAAGGGATATATTTGAACGAAGTAGCTAAATGGTTTTGACTACTATAACCAAGTAGAATACGGTAGCAGTAATCGACTGGTACGCGTCGTAGTCGCAGGTAAGAAGTGTAGATCAATGGCGTAGTCCACTGGGCGTTGTTATAGACTTAGCTCTCAGACTAAGGCTCTTGACTCTCGTACCTACACGTCCGTC